ACAGAGATAGTGAGAGGAGAAGTGAGAAATCACCACCCAGGGGGATGGCCATGCTGCAATCCCTTCTCCTGCATCCTCCTCCTGGGATCTTGGGTGTACACACACACACACACACACACACACACACAGAATGAGTTTCAAGCCACCATGTCTGGGACTTGAACTGTAGTTAGCCATGTGGGAACCCAGTAACATAACCACTATGCCATCTGCTGGTCCCAGAGCAAAAATTTTTAATTTGTATAAAGTTTCATTCATCAGTGCTTTTGGTTTGTGCTTATTTGTCCCATCTATAAAATCATTAATTTTTAATTTTTCATTGCTGGTGAATAGGAATACAACTGATTTGGTGTGTGTGTGTGTGTGTGTGTGTGTGTGTATTGTCTTTGTTCTGTGCGATTTTGCTCACTGCAATTAGTTCTAAGAATCTACAGAGTCTTTAATATTTTCTATATACGAAATCATGTTAACTATTAAAGATCACTTTATTTCTTCCTTTCCAATTTACTTCTTCCTTTCCCTTTCTTCAGTTTCTTTTTCTTACCTTATTGCATTGCTGAGGACCTCTGGTACAAGTGAAGAGAATAAACATTTTGCTATCTTTCCAATCTTAAAGAAAAAGCATATAGTTGTTCACTGATAAATATGACCGTAGCTGCTGATTTCTCAGATTCCACTTACGAGTTTGAGGGAATTCCTATCATCCCAAATTTGTTGGAAGTTTTTATTTTGTGAATGAGTTTTGCATTCTCTCTCTTTTTTTCTCGACCTATTAAGGTGATGATATGGTTTGTGTTTCTGTCCATTAGTATGGTGAATTACATGATCTGATTTCAAAATTTAAACTAATATTGCACTCTTGGGATAAATCTGACTCTGTCATATTATTCATTTATGAAAACATATTTAGATACAAATAGAGTTTATTGTAGGGGATTAGTCTGTACTTAGGAGACTGGGCAGTCTATAATCTATCATCTGCAAACAGGAGTCCCAGAAAAGCTGCTCATGTAATTCAGTACAAGTCTAAGATCTGAGAAAATCTAAAAACCTGAGAACCAGGAGTGTCAAGAGCAAGAGAAGACTGTTGTTTGAAGTCTGGTAATCTGGCAAGAAGAGAATTCCTTCTCCTTCTGCCTTTTATTCTATCAGGCTCTAACAGATTAGATGATGCCCACACCTACAATGACCAGGGTGAACACCTTTTCTGGGCCCACTGATTCAAATGCTAATCTCATCCAGAAACACCCTCACAGAGAGACCAGAAATAATATTTAATCTGGGCACCCTGTGACCAGTCAAGTTGACACATAAAATTAAACTTCTCAATGCAAAATATCAATGTTGATCTTCATATGGCTCTGGTTTCCAGAAGCAAAAAAGAGAAATGTTTATTCTTTTTATATATTGTGGGATTTAATTTGCTAACATTTTGTCAAAAATTTTTGCATCTAAATTCATAAGAAACAGTGATAACTTTCTAGGAATAATTTTGGTTTGGGTATTAGAATAATGCTGGTCTAGGTAGTTTTTTTTTTTTTTTTACTTTGTAAAAAAATTGGTGTAGAAACAATATTATTTCTTCCTTAAAAATTGATAAATTTATCAGTAAGATCATTTGAGTCTATAATTTATGGATAGGCTTTAAAGATTTAAAAATTTTAAAATATAGGACTTGAAGTTTATTTATTTATGCTTAAATATGCTGTCAATTTGTGTTCTCAGAAAATTTTTCATTTCATTTAAGTTGCTGAATGTATTAGCATAAAATAGTTCACAATATTCTCTGATCATTCTTTTAATGTCTGGGTTATGGCTTTCTGTGTACAGTGTTCAGCTACAGGGCTGATCCAAAACACTCTATTTTTACCATCCCACTTTTCTTTTTAAAATTTAAAGAAGAATAATTAACATAAGATCTACCCTCTTAAAAGTTTTAAGCATAGAATATAGTTAACTATAGGAACAATGCTGTACAGCAGATCTCTAAAACTTAATCATCTTATATAACTAAAACTTTACACCTATGGAATAGCAACTCCCCATTTTCCCCTCCCCAGCTCCTGGAAATCCCCACTCCATTCCCTGCTTCTATGTGTTTGACTATTTTATACACTTCCTGTATGTTATTCAGTATTTGACTTTCTGTGACTGCCTTATTTCACTTAGCATAATTTCCTCAAGGTTTGTCCATGTTGTTGCCTATGGCAGAATTTTCCTTCTTTTTAAATGCTATACATGCTTTGGTTTGTTTATGGGCTCTTTACTCTGTTCCATTCGTCTACATGCCTGCCTTTATGCCAATATCATACTGTTTTAATTACTGTAGCTTTGTGAGATATTTTGAAATCCAAACATCTGAATATCTTATCTTTGTTTTTCCTTCTCAAAGACTGTTTTGGCTATCAGGCTCCTTTATGGCTTCATGTAAGTTTTAGGACTGTTTTTTCTACTTCTGCAAGAGAGTCATTGGATTTTTTAAAAGACTGCACTGAAGCTATAAATTGTTTTGAGTAGTATAGACATTTAATAATATTAAGTTATTCAATCTATTAATACAGGATGCCTTTCTTTTTACTGGGTCTCCTTTAACTTCTTTCATCTATGTTTTAGAATTTTTGATGTTTAAGTCTTTTACCTCCTTAGTTAAGTTTATTCCTAAATATTGTATTCTTTTTGGTGCTATTATAATTGAGGTTGATTTTTAATGTCCTTTGGGGAATATGTTTTTAGTGTATGGAAATGCAACTGGCTTTTTAATGTCAATTTTGTATCTTGCAACTATACTGAATGTATTAATTCTAACCATTGTGTGTGTGTACTCTTCAGGGTTTCTACATATATTGTATAAGATTATAACATCTACAAACAGAAATCACTTCACTTCTTTTCCAATTTGGATCTTTTTTACTTTTCCTTGCATAATATGCTCTGTTTCTTTGTTTTATAGTTTTTTCCCCAAAATTGAATAAATGGAGGATATTTTTAAAAATCCTTTCAGCATGTTAAAGATATTGTTGCATAGTCTGTAGGCTTGAGTAATTTCTGAGTAGAAGCCTGACATTCTTTCTTTGTTCTGTTGGTATGTACCCCAACTCTTTTTCTAGTTGCTTTAAGATTGTTCATTCTATCACTTGTTTTCCAGAATTTTATTTATTTATTTTATTTTAGCTTGCTATAGGGCTGTGCACTTGCTGGAGAGAGACGGAGAGAAAGAAAGATATGATACTCCTCAGGGGAGATAGCTATGTCACAACTTCTTCTCTTCCATCTCTCCTTTCGGGATTTCAGGTACAAACACACGAGTCTGGAGTGATTTTCAAGCTACTGGGTCTCAGACTTGAACCACATAGTCGGCCATGTGGAATCCTGCCAGGAATCTCTCTGCAGAACACATTTTCTGAGTGTGGGGCTGTGGATTAGAAATAAACGTAAAAATAGACACACAAAGACATACAAGTAAAGAAAAAACAAGAATCATGTGGGCCTGACTTCTCTAAGTGGAGATAGCCATGACCCCAAACTAGTCCCAGGTTTATTCTTTTAAAGGGAAAAAAATGGGGAGAAAGGAAACGGAATGCAAAGCCAGTTTTGTTTTCGGATATTAACTGACTGAAGATGAAAGGACAACTTGGCATCATGTATTTTCTCTGATCTTTTGGGGTAAATTATGATAAACACATGTGGCTTCCTTTAAACAGATACTGCTCTGCAGTGTCAGGCAGCTACCATATTTACATGCAAATTGCTTTCATCACCATGCAAATAACAGCTCAGGGAACCATGTTTCTGCATGTTTCTAAAGGTCACCATGTTTGCTCAGACTAGTTGCACTCCACAGGATCCAACTGCCTTAAGCTCCACACCACCTGCTGGCCCCATTTTCAGAAATTTGATATCATGTTACTTGGTGTGGTTGTCCTTATGTTTACATTGGTGGAGATCTATTAAGATTATTAGATCTGAATTTATTGTGGAAATTTTTGACTGTTGTTTCTTTAAAAATTTTTTCTCTATTTTCTTTTTACATGCCAATAACACATATTTACACTGTGTGATATTATCACACAGTTCACTAGTGCTCTTATTTTTTTGTTGTTGTTCTTTAAGGTTCTTTTTTCCCTTACTGTTTCAGTGTGGGTAGTTTCTATATTTACACCTTAATATTAACTTTTTCCTGCAATTTTCAATTTGAATTTCATCTCATTTAGTATATTTTTCATTTTAGAGATATTTTTCATCACTAGAAGTTCCAGTCTTTGTTATGTATCCCATTTCTATCTTAATTATATTTATGTTTCTTTACATCCTTTAGCATATTTATGGTGGTCATATTAAAAACCTTACCTGCTAATTCCATTATCTCTCTCACTTAAAAAAATCTATTTCTATAGATTTATTTTCTCCTATGGATAACATTTTCGTAATTCTTTGGATACCTGATAATTCCTTCCTTGATGGCAAACATTGTGAATTATGTGCTTTTTGGTACTGGGTTTTGTTATATCAAAGAATGCTGCATTTTTAACCATTCTAGCATGTGGTAACATTACTCACAGATACGTTTATTCCTTAGAGGTTTTTTTTTTAAGCTTGATAAAATGGGTCTAGAGCAAACTTCCACTATAAAGGTATGACCCTTCAAAGCACTCTGCCCACTGTCCTGTGTATTACATCTTTTTTCCATTCTGTTCTTTTTTTTTTTTTTCCCAAGACACAAATCTGAAGTTTTATTGAGGATAAAGTAGAAATCATAATGTGCCTTAGAAATGACATTCTGAGCAGGACAAGGGTCCCTTGGGTTTATGAACTCATTGGTGTTTCAGGGTTGAGCAATCAGGATTAAAAGATCAGGAATAAAAATTCAGGGGCCAGCAGGTGGTATGGTGAAGCTGGGCTCCTCACATAACCAACCACAGAGGGTGATTACTCACTTTCCCTCTCTGGCGAGGGGGAAAGAAACCTAAAGAAAGAAAAAACTAACCAAAAAAATAAAAGAATTATAAAATTCAGTCAGCACAGACTTGTTTAGGTCAAGTATGTCACCTGTGGTAAAGTGCACAGGAATGTTAACAGGCATTTTAAAGCAACAATATTTAAATCATCGTTTGTAATCTGAGAGGAAAAAATAAAGGGCTCAAAAACTTTTTTGCTTGAGATGGATGGAAGCCAAAAGGAGGTAAAGGAGCCAGTTCACACTTAAGGCCTGTTCTCTTTGGTAAGCAAAATTAAGAGACCTGAGTTTTGAATGCTTCTCATAGATAACCACAGATTTTTCAATGCTGCATGTGCCCTGGATGTGCTAATAATTCTTGTTACGTCCAATGCATAGATCAATGTGAAGATTCAGGTATCCTCAAGTGGTTCGTTGGTTCTTACCAGATCCTCCTCTTTACCCTCTTTGTGGTGTTGGCATCAACTGCTTTCATCTTTCAAGGTAAGGAGTCCTTATATTCAGCACCATGGACTTTGACTTGGAAACTGCCTTCATTTTATTTCACAAATTGCCCCAAATGACTCTAAGTGTTCCACTCTTCTGGTTGCCCCAGAGTACTTGAGGCAGGAACTTCCTAGCAGTTAAACAAGACAATAAACAGGACATATCCAAAATGTGTTTATTGGGATGGTTTCCCACTCATCTTGAGTCAGGATGCTTTTAGTGCTGCTTCCTCCTGAAGGAACATCCTTCTGTAAGCCTCGTTTTTCCTCCTGTAGACTGGCAGAGGACAATAGAGCAACCAATGCACAAAACTACCGTTTGTGCATGGCTAAAGACTGTGGTGATTTTATAGCATCCTGGGCACTTCACATCCATGAAGTAGGAATTTGGGCTCTGCACCAGGCGCTGCTTCTTGTGTTTCCTCTTCTCTTCCAGAGAGGGATGAAGGAGGTCCTTTGCGAGGGGCATGTTCTCGTGGGGAGGTCATCACCGCCGGAAAGCTCCATTCCGTTTGATAGAATGGAGACTACTCTATCTTATGTGAGCTCTGAGTTTCTTGGCCTGGTTTTCTTTTTTTCCAGTTCTATTTCTTATTTAAATCGAATTGTTGTACATCTTTATGGCATACAATATGATTTTTCAAAGCATACATGCTGTGTGTGATAATCAAATCAAGAAAATCATCATATATTGGGTAGTCAGGAAAGTCATGACACAGTTTTGCATTAAAAAAAAAAAAAATCATGACTTTCCAGGTGACCTAATACATTGTTTTCAAAAAAGAACCTTATATTCTTATGTCTGTTATTTTCAATGATTGTTTCCTCAGGCTTGTGGAATTTTATCCCACACAAATGCAGATCCTCATTTGGCCAAAGACTTGAGGAGACCCCTCCGCATCTATCAGGAGCTTCCACTTTGGGCAGCACCTCCTCTTTAGTACTCCAAACTGCATTTCAACTGCTTTGATATGCCTGAACTCTGATCTGTTTCCTCAACTTAATGAGACTGCTGGGCTCCCTTTGTATGCCCTTCTCTGCATTGCAGCCTATAATCTTCTCTGGTCAGTGAACAGGGGTGATCATAGAGCTCGCTTAGTCTGTCTTCAGGGGTCACAGTCCTACACTGTTGTCCGATGTCTTCTAATTCTTTGGTGCAGGAGGGCAGTTACCAAGGCAGATGATGTTATTCTAAGTCTCTCATGTGCATGCTAATTCTAATAGACCATTGAAATAGATACTATTACTACTATATTATGTTCATTTATAGATGAGGAAATTAGATAAAAAGAAGTTAAAAATCTCACCTGAACTCAGATACCTAGTCAATGTTAGAGCTAAGATTTGAACCTAGGAAGTCTGGGAGTAGGATGGAGTCCCAATCTCAAATTTAAAAAGAAGGTGAGTGAAAATATACGGGCTGTAGGAGTTATTCTCATGTGCACAAAATGGGTGGAGGTTTGACTAATTGATGCAGACAAGGTATAGGCTGCAGGGGCTAGAGGGTAGGTAGTCTGTCTCCAAGGTATTAGATAAGCAAGATAAGGTGTTATAAAGCCTATTGTGGAAAACATTCTATTACTGAATACCTAGATGTGCTTTGGGGAGTTTTGTATGTTTAATATTTCCTTGAGAGGTAATATAGTATAGTATTTAAAAAGCATGAACCAGACTTCCTGGGTTCAAATCCCAGCTCATAAGATTGATCAGGTATAGGAATTCAGGTGGTATCTTTAACTTCTTTACACCTAGTTTCCTCATCTATAAATACCAAGAAACACCAGTGCCAGGGTAGACAGGAGAGTCATGCATGCTTCCTATAGAAAAGAATACCTGGTGGGCTGACCTGGACAACACTGGCATTCCAAAGAGTGACGAGTTCAATTTGCCCAACAAGGCTTAGAGTCAGCATTTTGCAGGGCAGACATGACTGTCTAGAGAGTAAACCTGAGAAGACTCTTTGCAAATACAGCTGTTATGGAAGCTGGAAAATCAAGGTTCCATAGAAAAAAGAACTGCTGACTGCACAGAATGGTTACTATCTCAGAACTAAAGGTAAGAGGCCTGACACCTGGTGTACTCCTCTTCACATAAGGGAGGACTGCCTCCATTGTCTTAGATTCACTCCATTCCAGCACAAAATGAGGTCTTCACAGTTCATCAAATCCATGCCCTGGCTTCTATGAACATGTTATCTTACACTCTCTGGAAATGTTAAGAATGCAGAAAGTAAATGCTGTTTTGCATAATAAATGTTTATCACAATCCTTTTGAAAGTAATAACTAAGGAGGCTCCCCAAAGAGTGACCTATTCCTTCATGATCAATTTTTTTCCCTACTCAGTATGTGAGTAAACATCCCTTTAAGCTATTTGACCTTGAACATGTCATAATCTTTCTAAGCTTTAGCTTACTTATTTGTAAATTTGTGATGATGCCTAGTCCGTCACACTGTGAGGGTTAATTGAAACAATGTACATAATTAGAAGTTATTATCCTGTTATGAAGGAATTCAGATTTAGACCTGACTGATAAGGCACATGCCTCCTAAGAAAGGTGAAAATGGTGTAGTAACAACACATGTAAACCCCCACTATTAAAACTTCTGAGCTGAAAGAAATTTTGGAGAACACCTGGGATAAGAAGGGTGCAAAAATGAGAAGAGGTTGAGAAAGAAAAGTGAGGAACTGAAGAATTCCAAAAACAAATTTCTAAATTTATCTAAATTTAGATGATTCCTAAATCATCTAAATTTAATTCATTCACTCTAAAAAAAAAATCTTTCTTGAATGTCTACTATTAAGGGTGCCATGCTAGACGTTATCAACGTCCTAAAGATTGATAGGACCAGTAAGGGAAATGAGGCATGGACCCACCTTGTACTAAGTCTCCTGAGACTAGTTGTTAAGGACAAGCCACAGGTGCCTGCAGGCAGATAGACGGAGGGGTCTGCAACACACCTGTCCTGGCAGATTGCCTCATCCATCTGCCAGCCTGTCCTGTCAAAAGATCCTCGAGGCAAGCAATTTCATAGTTGCCCTTGGCCAATTCTGTCTCAAATAGACCATTCTTTCTTAGCCTAACTGAAACATCTTGTACTGTAGTTTAAATCCAGTTCCTCTAGTCTGTTCTCAAGACGGAGAGCAGCTGGCTACTACCTTCTGCCTAATAATCCACTGGGGAGTTGGAGACTGCTATTAAGTTCCTCTTGAGCTCTGGATACATTATCCATCATTGACTGACTGAGAAAACAGGATGTAGACATTGAGGTTTGTGTTCACAGCAAATGAGTTTCTGTGGGAATACAGTGGCATGCAAAACAGTGCAAACTGTCTTTGGCCAAGGACAAAATGCTGAGGTAGGTAGCTGCAAGATGGTCAGCGATGTTCTCCTAAGGACAGAGAACGAACTCTGATAGATCCTGGGAAACGTCTCTTCCACAGAAATTCATTCCAAAACCTCAGTGTTTGAGGACAAGGAAAGTTTGCTTCCTATCCAGATAAGACACCTCTTAGGGAGAACCAGGTGGTAAAATGAGGATTAAAGAGTGAAATCAAGACTGTATTGTAAGGGCCAGCAGGTGGTGTGGTGTGGTGGTTGTGTTGGACTCTGACATGGCTGACCGTGGTTCAAGTCCCAGACCTGGAAGCTTGCTTTCTCATTTTTCTTCTCTCTCTCTCTCTGGTGAGTATGTGCTTTATAGCAAAATTTAAAATAATTATAAGGAAAAAGAAATAGAGTGATTTTTACTCTAGGGCACATGCACTCACTGGGGAGACAGACATGGAGAGACAGCGAGTGAGAAATCACCACCCAGAGGAATGACCATACCCTAATCCCTTCTCCTCCATTCTCCTCTCGGGATCTTGGGCATGCACGCACATGTGCCCAGCATGAGTTTCACGGCCCCAGGTCCAGGACTCAAATTGTGGTTGGCCATGTGGGAGTCCAGGAACATAACCATTAAGCCATCTGCTGGTCCCAATTAAAAAAAAAAATTATTAAGGACTATATTGTAGTTCAGTTCTAAGTAATTTGACCTCATGCTATTAGTTATTTTAAAAGACACAACTATTTGTATATTAATCATACTATCTATTTTTTATATTTTATGGTACTTTGATATTCTGGGAGCCTTGGTAGCCCTGGAGAGACACCCTTCCCAGGGTAGCTAATTCCTAAACATGACAAAGGTTTCCCAGAATGTCCTTTTTCTATGCAAATCAACCAACTCAAAGTCCATGTCTCCAGTAACTTCCTTTATTTTTTTCTTCGTATTTGCTAGAGTGCCAGAGAGAAATGGGGGAGTAAGCAACCTCAATGAGGTGTGAACATGCCATAATCCCTTCTCCTCCATTTCTCATTTTCTTTGGGACCTTCGGCATGCACAAGCACTCCTATGCCTTCCTTAAGTAGCTGGGGCCAGGACTCAAACGGTGGTCAGCCATGAAGAATCTGGCTCCCCCAATCATCTCCTTTATCTCATACAGCAAGTCAATACCTGCCTTGTCCTAAATCATCCCAGCCAAGTGTCAAACAATCACCAACCGTGTAACCCAGAGCCTGCAGAAATAATTCAAACTCTCAATCTTTTAAAAAAATTTTTAGAGAGAATTTTGCTATAGGTGAGCTCGCTGGAGAGACAGAGAGATAGAAAGCAAGAAATCACCCCCCCCAAGGGGGTATGGTCATGCCACAATCCCTTCTCCTTCATTCTCCTCTTGGGATTTTGAGCATGCACACACACACACACACACCTGACGTGAGTTTTAAGCTGCCAGGTCCAGGACTTGAACCGCGGTCAGCTGTGCGAGTCCAGAGATGTAACTATTATGCCATCTGCTGGTCCCCAAACTCTCAATCTTAAACTTGCTCAAACTTTCCTACCTTGCCTTTCTCACCCCTTCCTTCAACTATAGTAAAGACTCTGGGTCATACTTTCCTCTCTCCTTGTGCCTTCGGACTGACTCTGCTACTTTTCCATGTGGCCCTGCATGGCATGGCACGGCCCCTTGACCTCTCTGGGTATGTCACCATATCCGAGTCCATCTGAGTCCATCTTTTGTTTCTGCAATAAAATTCGTGAGACTGGGTCATGTATAAAGACTAGACTTACTTTTCAGTTCTGGAGGCTGAAAAATCCAAGATCAAGGCACTGGTGTCTGGCCTGATGAGGGCCTTCTGGCTGTGCCACATAGCAAAAGGTGGAAGACAAGAGAGAGTGAACCCACTCCCACAAAGCCTTTTTACACATTAATCCATTTATGATTCAAGCACTTCCCAAAAACTTCCACCTTCTAATACTGTTGTTCTGGGGATTAAGTTTCCAAAATGTGCATTGCATAGGGGACCAACACATTTGAACCATAGCACTGGTAAACATCTTGAAACAATTTATCAGCTCTTAAATTACTTGGATAATATGCTTCATGTGGGAGTAATTTTAAACCACAAAGTACTGAGTTCTGTTGGGGTAA